TAGTAGTCGCCGTAGTGGTCATGGTCGTTGTCGCTTTCACAGCTGTTGTCGTAGCGTCAGCGTCGTCGTCGTCGTCGTAGTAGTAACAGTAGTAGTAGTAGTAGTAGTAGTAGTAGTAGCAGCAGCAGCAGCAGCAGCAGCACTACTACTGGTACTAGTGCGTAGTTAGTAGAACTGGGACTAGAACTAGTACTAGTACTGGTACTAGTACTATACTAGTACCAGTACTAGTAGCATTCCGATGTCGACAATCTCCGGGATTGGGGCCTAAGAGCGTCTTGTCTGGTGTTTCCCAGCCTACGAAGTGCTCCGGGATTGGCCCTTGCTCAACCAGTCCAACGGCGAACATTGCAGCCAGGTCTCTTTTTGGGGTTTAGGGTTAGGGCGGTTAGGGTTTAGGGCTTAGGCATCAGCTTTTAGTGCACAGCATTCGGGGTTCCCCTGAACTTGCTGATCAGGTGTCACAGTTGCAGTCAGAGAAGGCCACGGCGATCCGCCTGCCACTCCTGGCATGTTTGTAGGCCATAGCAGCTTCCCTCGGATTACTGTCAGTGTCATAGTATGCTCTTCTCCTGAGATTATTGCTGTGGGACTCATCAGCATCAGTATGATTAGCATTGTCATGACCAGCACTGCTTTCATGAACTTACACTCTTATGCCTACTTTAATGTTTTGGCTGTGTACCGTCTTACTGTTGTTGCTAGTATGGTCCGCAATACGCTATCAAGACTGCGTTCGCTGCTGTTGACAGGTTTTCTTGTCGTCAGCACCATTGTCATTCTCACCGTCTTCATCATGACCATCATCATTATCATCAGCAGCCACAGCACCACCATCATCATCGTCGGATTCATCTTTCTTTTTGGGTCATCACCGTCTTTCTGAACTTGCATCCTTCTTCCTCAGCATGGTGGGTGTCGACACGACCCCTGTGATGGTAGTATGGCCAGCTAGGCTTTCTTGAGCTGACTAGACTGCATCTTTCAAGCCGAAATGTAAATGTTAGCATGCTGTGCCAAGGATATGCTGCCATCAGCCAAGTTCGGAGAGCTTGGTGTTCTGTGTTTCGCCAATTCATCTTGGGGATGACAGTTAAGTGGAGCCCTGGATTTGGGAGTAACATCTCTCGAGATTGTTTGAGTTTGCTTGGTTGGACACACCTTGCGGAATCATAACATACTCCTTGGTCTTGGAGCGCGGAAGCCGCAACCACTGCAGCTTTCCTCAACCGCCGCTAGCTGGCTTGAAGAGAGCTAGCTTGGTTTTCAGATCCGCTCTACTTGGATCACCATGGGTTGTGCTGCGAGTGTGAAGGCGAGGGCACGTCAAGGGAGAGAGCTTCCTAGATGCAGCCTCCCCCCTGCACGGTCGTTGCTGTAGCAATTTCAGATGCCTTTGATTATCGGGAGACCTGACATTCAGAGCGCCGTTAGGATGGCAGGCTGACACGCTGGGGTGGTCCTTTTCTTGCTATACCTGCCTTACAAAGGCTCGAAATCTGACGGTGCATTGTCTGGAAGACACCCAAAGCTTGAGGCCTGCAGAACTAGATCAGGTCCCGGACGGGACAGAGATCATCCAACATGCTTCTACAGATCATGAAGAGGATGGGTTGGCAGTCTTTTCTTCTGCTGTTCATCGACGGTGTCTGAATGCCCAGGAGCCTCAGATGTACAGTATGGAAGCCTTCACAAGCAGTCCTGTGGCTCCGATGTCGTTCTTTGTGTTTGCACCTCTTACCCTGTTATAGATTCTAGATGCTTAAGTTTATGCCTAAGTAGCACGATCCTTATTGTAAAGCCTGTTAGATAAGCTTCCCGGCCCACATCAAGTCCCGATGCGCAAGCCCAAACACCTGCAATGCAACTTTGACCCCATATTCCTTCAAAGCACATAAGCCCTACACCCAAAGCCCCCAAACCCTGAATTTTTGTGTAGTGGGAAGCGGCCCAGTATCACCCTCCAGGGCTCAGGTGTCGCAAAAGGGGCGGGTGTCTTGGTGCCGTATTTACGACACGTGTTGTCTGAAGCCCACCACCGTTTGCTGGACAGGTGTCTGATGACGACGTCAGGCGCGAAAGGAGTCGCGTGAAAAGAGACCTGCCCAGCCCCGAAGCCTTCACTAAGATAGGAGCTTGCACTTTGCCGCATACATCAGACTGCTTTGAAGCTGATTGGTGGCACAAGCCGTCGGTGCTAAACAGGCAACATTTGATATTGGGTCGGGTTGGGTAGAGACTTAGGAGAGATTCCAAGGTATCATGCGGTCCTGATCGTGAATGGTTTGGGATGTATTTTCTGCCCCATGCCACAGCACAGTTTGTGATGACAGCGGCATTGGGCGATGATATGTTGTTCCTGGTTGCGTGCTCATACGGTGTGCATATGAGGTGTTCCTACATATTGTTTGTTGCCATACTTAGCTGCTTCATGTCATGTTAGTATTCTATCCTGGTTTATCTGCCGTCTCATATTTTGACGAATCGTTCCTGCAGGGAGGGTTGCCCCCTCTCAAGCATACAGAAGAAGAGCGAGAGCAAAGCTAGCACGAGCGAGGTTGCAGCACGTGATGATGGAAGGGTTTGAAGTAGGCTGGGAGGATCGCTGGACTTAATTGGGACGGAAGGTTACAAGTGCCTTAATTCGGGTTATGAGTATGAGCAATCATACAGATAGATATTTGATTTACAACCCGAGTTACTGAGTCCAAGGACCCTTTAAGGGGAGTCCTCCACAAGCATCGCGACGCCCCGCAGGAAAGGGAGACACGGCCCTTGCCCAAACTTCGATTCGCTGATCGGACCGATCCCGAGGACCTTGGGTTTAGGGTTTTTAGGGTTTTCCAGCTTTCATCGAAGGGCACCCAGAGTCGAACGGTTTGGGCTGTGAATTCTTGACGTGTCGGACGAGGCGTTTGGTGTGAAGGGTGATGTGCATAGCCCAGGGCTGGGCGATTCATGGGCTTCGAAGCAAGCGAGATGTGGCCCCAGGAAGCAGCTTGCCAGGGACGCACACAGGTTCCAGCAGCCTTGGCCCACGCATGTCGAGGCCGACGGGGCACGGGGACGGGCAGGCTCAACTCTGAAAGCTGCATCCCCCTCGCAGAATAGCCTCTTAAGTACTTAAAGGATCATGGGAAAGAGGGTAGCTATACTTACAATTACTTATTATAACCCCTATGAAGGTACTTATAACCTTACTTACCAAGTCCCATGATCCTCCAAGTAACGCAGACTGTCGGCAAAGGGCGCCATGTAAGAACCCTGCTAAAGCACGCACACACACACAGACACAGACTGCCTCCCAAGATTCCCGGGTGCAGTCGGCCTCCGGCATAGTTTTATTCAGCAGTCGTGTGGAATCATGCAGTTGCTGGATGTGGTAGCCTAATAGTTGTCGCGGAGCTACTGTGCACTGGCCGTCCGGTAATCGTACGACATCAGTATTGCACCAATGACCCGGGATCATAGCACACTACTGACAGCGGAACGAAAGCAACAAAGCAGTAGACCACCAGAGTCACAACGATTGATCGCATACTATAGGGGTCTTAATAATTGGAATAGGCTTTGGGGTACATTATACTATAAATATAATAAGGAATCCCAAAACCCTATTCCGAATTTTAAGGCCCCTACATTAGTTAGGTATCTCCCTGAGGCCCTAGGCCTTACCGCCCGAAACCTACAAGGGTTTAGGCCGCTAACCTCCGAACCCCACATCCCCAAACTCCGCTAAGCCCTATAAACCCTAAACCCTAAGCCCTAAACCCTAAACCCAAAACCCTAAACCTAAACCTTAAACCCTAAACCCAAAGCCCTAAACCCTAAACCCTTATCCCTAAGAGCCAGAAGAGGCCTGGGAGTGTCCTATGGACAAGCACCCGAGTCAGCTGAGCTGGTCGTCTTGGGATTCGTCCTCCTGGAGCAGGCTGGGTTTTAGGGTGTAGGGGTTTAGGCTGCAGGGGTTTAGGTTTTAGGGTGTAGGGGTTTAGGCTGCAGGGTTCAGGGTTTAGGGTGTAGGGGTTTCGGCTGTAGGGTTCAGGGGTTTTGGGTTTAGGGTTTAGGGTTTAGGGCTTAGGGTACAGGGGTTTAGGGTGTTGGGATTAGGTTATTAGGGCTTTGGGGGTGCAAGGTTTGCGGCCTCAGGGTATAGGAAGTAGGATGCAGGCGTTGAAGGCTAGGTCGAAGGATTTCGGGTATCTTAGGGCCTTAGGGTTTAAGGTGGATGGCTCAGGGAAGCAGAGGCATTTAGTCTTTTGCTTTTGAGGGCATTGGGCTTGAGGATTAGGGTCTACTGCTGCGCAAGCCCTGGAACTGTGCTTCAAAGAAAGGCGCCTTTTTGTCGCTAGTAGATCTGAGGCGTGACTTAGAGATCCGAAAGCCTCTGACGTGTCTTACAGGCTTTGGCTCTTTTGCAGAGCTTTCCTGGCGCAAGTCGACTCAGTAAGGCAGCTTGCCCTCAAAGCGAGATGCTGGCGACTCCGCAGAACTCTCCCCCGAACTTGCAGTGGTCCCTTATGAGAGTCAACATCCTAAACCACAGCACCCATCTGGCTGCTTTGGACGGGAGGGTCTTCTGCAGTCGAGCCACTGCTACAGCGCAACTTGGCAGCAAACCCAAAACCCCTAAACCCAAAACCCCTAAACCCCTAAACCCCTTAACCCCTTAACCCCTTAACCCCTAAACCCTAAACCCTAAACCCTAAAACCTAAACTCCAATCCCTAAAGCCTCAACAAACCAGGGGCCTTCCGAGGTTGAGGACCTGCCCCGACAGGGCCCCCGTCCCAAGCCAAGATTCCTGAGGCTTCGGGCTTGAGTCTCGGGGCTTGCATATCAAGGGTCAAGGCTGTAATCAACATCGGAATCCCCGAAACCGCGAAGCCCTAGAGTCTAATCTCCAAAAGCCTCAAACTCCCTCAAACCTCCCTTTTTTCTCCTCCTGCCTTTGCCTCCCTGAACCCTAAACCCCAAGCCTTGAGCAGGGATGGGTGCTCGATGAAGCTCCCCGATCGTCGCCTCCACGAGCGACACCTTGAGAAGCTGGGACAGTGGCCCGGATTTAAGAATCTAAGGGTTTGGGATTAAAGTGATTAACGTGTTTAGGGGTTTAGGGGTTTAAGGGTTCAAGGGTTTAGGGTTTAGGGGTTTAGGGGTTTAAGGGTTTAGGAGTTTGGCGTTTGGTGTTAAGGCTTTGAGCTTGGAGGTTTAAGGGTTCAGGCTCGGGGTTCTGGGGTTAACACTTTGGGACACGGCTTTCGGTGTCGGGTTTGGGGGTGAAGATCTTGCACTTTTCTCACCTGTTTCTCCCCACTCTTGCAGTCCGTGAGTAGAGTCTTACGATTCCGGGTCCAATTTTGGGTTCCGTACTTTTTGAACGAGTTCATTGATGCACCGGTGGGTTTTCTGGCATGCAGTTGTGCTTTCCTTTCTTTGGAAGGCTTGATGAGGTTGTGCTCTACATCCGTTTCCTAAACTCAGCTGCTATGCTCTACGTCCGTCTCGTGGGATTTAGGGTGCAGGACAGGTAATTAGGGGTCTCCAGTATCGCAAAATCAGCTGCTATTCAATTAGTCACAAAGGCAGCATGTGCAGACGACCCCAGAGCAGGAAGAGCTTACGTGATTTCCTACATTTTGTTCCCCGAGGCTCATAGTCCTAGTGAAAACAAACTTGCACAAGCCAGTGATGACCATCTTCAATGAAACGTCATATGAAGAGCAACAGCAACGGTAGTGGCAAACCGATCGCAGTTGTGCTGGTAAGAGTCATCGTGGTAGTAGCTGCTTTCAATCGTGGCCTTCGTCAATGACGATATAGATTCAGCTGTCGCAGCAGCCACACCGGGGCAACGGCAACGTGAACCGGATTCCGCATTCCTGGCATTCACCGATGCTGAATGCGCATGATGCATCACCTCGTCACACCTCGGTGAGCATTGATCGGTGTGGCAGCCGGAGTGAGACGGTTGTTTCTTGATGTTTTAGTTCTTTGCTGCCCCGCATAGCACGCATTCAACCCAGGGCTGATGCCAAAACAAAGTCTTCTTCTCTGTGGTCGGGATTTGCTGTTGTTGGGGATACAGCATGCAGCAAGTAGTTTAGCAGGACCTGAACTCAATCCCCCGAAGCCCAAATGCTATCTACCGAGGTTCCAGCATATCCTGGAGCTATTCCCCTCTGCTTTGGAAGAACTTGTCGCTGCCAAGCCCGACGCATCTCAGATCGAGTTCTGGTATTCCATCACATATACATCTACGTATATATATATATATAGATAAATATATGTATATATGTACATATATATATATACATATATATATACACATACATACACATACACCCTTTTGTAGAACTCATCTTTTGTTCAGACATCGTCAGGGTCGAGGAGCCAGTTCCACGGCAGATCACGCCTTGCCTGCTCCCATCAGTAGCATCGTTTCCAGTGCCCAAAAAAGGACTACTTAGGGGCCTATGGGTATCCTCAACATCCTCATGACAGTTGCAATTGCTCCCTATAAACCCTAAGCCCGTAGCCACAGACCCTAAACGCTAAGCCCTAAACCCCAAAGCCTAAGCCCTAAACCCTAAACACGTACCCCCAGACCCTAAACCCCAATCCATAAATCCTTGCCTTGCCAGAACATCAGATTCTCGAAGCCCAAGCTGCCTCGGACGCAAACTCAACCTTGCTTTGATCCCCCCCCGCCTCAAAATGGCATAGCATCGGATTTTTACGAAGGAAGAGACGGACAGACGGAGAGAGCGAAAGAGCGAGAGAGCGAGAGAGAGTGAGAGCCTTTCAGCTGTAATTCTGTGCTTTGGAGCTTGCAAGAGCCAGTCTTGTCATAAAACCCGCGACCGAGCCATAAAACGGAGAAGTGGCCCCAGGATCACGTGGCTGCCACGTGAGAGTTGGCGGCAGGTGCGGGTGGGGCTCAGGATGTGGGATTCAGGGCTCTCCGGAAGTTGTAGGGCACCTGAATCCTTTGGGCTTTCTGCTGTTCAGCTTACTCATTACGAGGTTCCCCACTAGTACCCTTTTGCGCTTTTTCTTTCTGGGTTCCCTTATTTTTACCGAAGAGTAGGAACAAGGACACCCTTATTATTCGGGCCCATGTTAGATTGGGCACCTTGGATCTCGCGCAGAATGGCTGCCTTCCGGTACCAGTATGTGATTTCAGAGCTTGTGGATTAAGGCTCAGTTAGTTTCAGAAGTCCGACGTTCTTGGGAACCGTCGCAAAGCCTGGGGCACTCCATCGCAGCTCGCACCGCACACTCCCGGTACTCTGGTCTCGCCTGTCGAGACATGAAAAATCTCGAGTAGCGGATTCAGCCCTTGAACTAAACTTGCACCTCGAACCAAGGACAACAAACTGCATCCGAATCCTTTACCCACTGCCCTCGGCTCCAAGGTTTGGATCTAGTACTCCCGCGCGTCCTCTAAATAGGCTCCTGGAACGCAGTTCAGAGAGACAGAGTCATTTTCGTAACCGGAGCTAGCCGGAGCTAGTGCTGTGAGCACAGCCGTCAGCAGCGGCAGTCGGAGTCATGCCGTTCGTAGCAGCAGGTCGCTGTAGGCATGGTGGTGGTGGTCGTAGTGGCGGTGGTGGTGTTGGTGGTGGTGTTGGTGGCGGTGGAGGTGATAAAGTAGTAGCAGCAGTAGTGGTCGTAGTGGCAGTAGTGGTAGTCGCGGCAGAGGTGGTGGTAGTACTGGGCAGAGGTTCTTGACGTGACAGCTCGGAATGCAGCAGTCGGACAACAGACAATGCTGCAGTCAGTTACAGCATTGGGTTCTTCTTTGCCAAACCATAAGAGAGATCAGCCGCAGCACTGGCCCCTCGACAGCTGGAGCCTGAAAAGCTTCGAGCAGAAACTGGGCATGCGAAAACCGCAAAGCGCCGCTCCGAAGCAGCCAAGGACAGACGGCTCGCAGTTTGGGCAACGGCCTGGCTGGAATTTCGCCCCAGTAGACTGGTCTACCGCAGAGGGCTGGGAGATCAAAGCCTTGCCTGTTGCCGGGATGGATAAAGTCCCACCATGCTGAACTCATCCGTTCTGGTCTGCACACCCATTTGGTGTTGCAGGAGCGAGGAACAGAATATGTCTACGTAGAGCAATTGGCAATAAGCTGCAAGATGCTGGACATGCTGAGCAGTCACATCCTCATAAGAGATAGAGATAGAGATGGAGATAGAGATAGAGATAGAGAGAGAGAGAGAGAACAGTCAAGGAAGAAGATATGTAACAAGAGCAAGCGACAGTTCCATCTACCCATCTGTCTGACTACAGCTTTCATATTTCCTGACACGCACGCGCGCACGCACGCATGCTATGCAGTGCTGTTGTATATGTATATACAGATTTACAGATATACAGATATGCAGATGTACCCAGAAAACGTAGATGTACATAGCACGTACATGCACAGTCATGCAGACACACATAGTAACTAGCATGCGTACATGCGTACGCACGTATGTATGCACACACCCACATGCACAACGACAGGTCTGTGATAGATAGGTAGGACAAGGACAAGGAAGCGGACAGAAGTCCAACGCCTGGTTTGGGTAGGTGGTCTTTGCGCTGATTTGTGAATGCCAGTGCTTTGGGCAACATCCGTCTAGATTCGGATAAGTGTACGGCTGTCCAACATCGAGCTGCAGCGCCACGTACCGTTGCCAGAATTCGGCACAGGGTGTCCAGTGCTCAGGTCGCTTATCTTGGTCTCGAGGAATTCGGGAGATTGGCTCTTCAAACCGGTTCCCACTGGGCGAGACACCTTGTGTGCCGGCAGATCCGTTTGTGCAAACTATCACCTGCCGCGTGGGCTTTCGGGTTCGTGGGACTGTGTTGGAACTGCTTTTCGAAATTTAGGGGAGAGGTAGATTGGTAGGCAGGCTGGTGTGCAGAAACACTGGCAACACAACTGCTTATGCTATGCTCTAAGCGGGTCTCAGGTGTTTTTATGGGTTTTATGTTGAGCCATGAGATGGCACAACCAAGCCTTTCGGCAGCCACAGCAAGATCGGCATAGCTGTTCTGTCTGTGGTTGCTGCTGTGCTGGATGATCGGACGCTGGGTCGGATCAGAGCCGATTCCCCCTAAAACCCTAAACCCTAAACCCGAAGCCTGACTCCGGCACCCAAAAGCCAACCTTCATCTTTGGATCCACTGCCCGCGCTCCCGGTCCGCACTTTTCCAAGGCCTTTCTCTCAACAATCGGGTTTAGGGTTTCGGGTTTAGGGTCGCAGGCAAAGCCATGGTGCCCCCGAGCTTCATGAGAAGCTGAGGGCTTCATGAGAAGCTGGGGGCTTCCTTGTCCATGAGAAGGGTACTATGGGGTTTAGGGTTTAGGGCTTAGGGTTTAGTGGTTTAGGATTTTAATGGTCTTGCTCCAAGATGTGGGGCACTGATTCTTAGAGATGTTTAGGCTGCCCGTTGTGACTCAGAGCGGAGCTCGCTTCACATCGGCAGCATCTCGCTGCAGCGCGGCAGAAAAGGGAACCTGTGCCTTGGGGATCTGCTACCAGGGTTTAGCGTTTAGGGTTTCAGGGTTTAGGGTTTAGGGGTTTAGGGGTTTAGGGGTTTAGGGGTTTAGGGTTTAGGGAGATTCTCTCGGGTTTTCTTTGGGCTGCGGCAGTCTGTCATGGTTCAGGGGAGTCGGTTTCTGTCGTGAGTTCATGGCCCCCAAGCTCGATCATGTTGAGGCCATTTGCCATTCAGATGTGGGTAGTTCTCTAAATTAGGGTCCCTTTAAAACTTTTTTTGGGACCTAGAAGGGGACCCTAGCTTAGAGAACTACCCATGTATGGCATGGCTTGGAGGTTCAAGGCTAAGGGTTCAGGTGTCGGGGCACTGCGGGATGAAGGCTCCTATCGCCAGGTGCGAGGAGAACAAGCGCTCCTTCGAGCAGCGCCTTGCGGAACTCAGCCTGGTCATGGGCCCGGATGCAGATTTGGGATGGACTGGGGGTTCTTTGGGCCCCTAAACCCTAAACCGTTCTTGCTTACGGTCTTTGAAAGCTCGACCTGAGCTATTCGCGGTCAGAAGAGGGATGACTTTGGTGCCTGGGGCTTGACAATACCACTCTCTGCATGTATGGTGGAAGCTGCAACCTTCACACTTCGAGCTTGCTGACTTTTGAGCCAGCAAGATATCTCGACTGCCACTTCTCGGGTGCTTCTACTTTCGTCTTGAGACTGCAAGACTGCCTTCACGAGGCGGTGCAGCGTTTTACGAACAAGGTCCGTAAAGTGTCTGTCTTTTCCGGGACAGCGCTTCGATCGAAGCCGATGCATGATATCGGGAAGCTTTGCAGGCCGGATTATAGCCAACAAAAAAGCCTTGCAGAGTTGAGGTCGTCAAAGCCCTATTCTAGAAGCCTACATAGTTACCAATATTATTCCTTAGGGTTCCTTACTGAAACTATACTACAAAGGAGCCCAAAACCCCATTCAAATTGTTAAGGCCCCTACATTAGGCCATAAGGCATAAACGCCGCTGTCACAGCGCCTCGTGCTCCCAAATGACAGAAGTCATTATCATAATCATAGGCTTAGGGTTTAGGGTTTTGGGGTTCAGGGATACTAACACTACTACTGCTAGGAATACGAACACGAAGAGTAGTACTGATACAAACACTGCTCCAAGTCCTAATCCACGTCCCAGTCCTAGTCCTACTCCTCGTGCTACTACTCGAAGACCAATTGAACAATACGAAGAATTCTCAAATGCAGCGCAAATACTCATACTAGTTTTGTAACAGGAACTGTTTGGTAGTAATAGTAGCTACTTCATGGTACTAGCAACGGTTTAAAAGTAGTGAAAAAGAAGTAGTATATGTATATGTAGCAGTAGTTGTATAATGGGGGTAGTAGCCTTGTAATTGCAAAAGTAATAGTTGTCGGAATGGGAATAGGAATAGCAACAGCGATGGACATAGCAACAGCATTAGTACGTAACAGTAATCGTCATAGTCATAGTCATACTTCTAGTGATGGTAACCATAATGATTCTCGTGCTGATAAGGCTGAAAGCAGTTTTCGTTCCAACGACAGGGTGCTCGAACTACGACCACGCAGATCGCAGAGAGCCTTGGCAGAGTATTTACTTCCCAGTTCGGGTGTCTAGAGTCTTAGAGGGTTTTTGTAGGGGTTTTATTGGAGGTTGTTTCAATCGGGATTTCGGGGGGTTTTGGGCCCTTGTGGTTTACCGGTGGGACTTTAGGTTTATTCCTTGGGTTCAGGGCTTCCCGGAAGTTCCAGGCATACTGTCAATGTGGGATTTCCGACCTTTCCTTTGCAAGAGAGCGTGGGGCTGTCAGCTGTGCGAGGATATTGCGGACTGGTATTCCTTCAAGGCATCGACGGCTTGTGTTGCCGTAGATGAGCACTAAACACGTAGCACAGAGTACGTCAACCCCAAAGCCGAGCATATGTTCCTCTGCCCCAATCCACTGCTTCCATATGCATGGAGCCTAGGTATCCGTCGGTGTGGCGCCGGGAGCCTACCATTGAAAAGTGCTTGAGGTCGCTAGGTGCAAGACTCGGAGTTTTCGGGTCTTTGCATGCACCAGGTAAGGGGTTCGGCGTACTGGGTTCATGTAGGATGAAAGGTTGCCAGGTGAAGGAACGTAGGGTTCCAGTCGGAACGGAACTTGACATCATGCAGTGCAAGCTTGCACCCAAGGGGGGTTTTATGTCTGAGCAGGCCTGTTTCAGGAACAGCTCCGAGCCCACGATTGCAAATCTCTGACAAAGACTTGCAGCTCTGAACTCTAGACTCTAGACATTTCTGGGAAAGCCGAAACCTGACAATCCCAACTCCAAGCGCTAAGCCACCGGAGGAGAGGCCGCCACCGGCTCGCCGGTGCGGCGCAGGGAGCTGTGCGAGGCCCAGGTTGTTG